CCTTTTAGAGAAATAAGAATTAAAACTGTGTGTTTACCCCACCTGTGGTTTTTGACTACTCTTTTTCTTAATTTCTTTCTAGTAAAGAAATGGAAGTATTTCTTTAAGGAACCCCCAAGTTATACTGCCCAAAAACTGGCCAAAAAGTGAGTAATTTCAGATGGGAATAGGTCTGAGTTTCACTTATGATTCATAGCAGTGTATTGAATGAGTTGGAGCCTGAACTAAAGACTGGGTTTAACCCTGCTGTACCAGATGTACAAACTATAAAAGAGAAAGGGAGCCATCACCTCACTAAGCCTGGCAGGGAGCAGTCTTTAAGCAGATAAAGGTGTGGAAATTGCTGGCAATTAGAACAGATATAAATGTCTCAGGCAAGAAACTGCTGCAGTGCTCTGCAAATGCTACATGCCTTGGTGCAGGGAGAGCACCAAGTGACACTGGAGTGGAAAGTTAACATAAGGGCAAAATGCTTATTCTGAGTGTTTCAATTTTTAAAGCTTTAAAGGCTTTAAATGTGGCCAGCATTTATGACACCCAGTCAAAGTGATCTCCCAGCAAGGGAGAAGCAGCAGTACAGCTCCCCTTGCATGGGACTGAGCCTGTGCCCTGTGACTAAACACCTAACTGATAGAGGTGAAAACTTTAGTGTTAATTCTTCACTTCTACAATAATTTCCTTTTTTCTCTTTCCATTGGTATCACTTTCTAGCTTATTTATGCCAAAAACTTTAATATCTGCTAATTAAGTAACAGTCAGGCCTTAGAAGAAATCGAAGTCTACATTGCATGGTGCTCTGCCCAGGCAGAGGAATTAATTAGGCCAAGTGTACTGTCAGACTGCTCTTGCCTTTCTCCTTTCCTGTGTCATGGCAGCTGCAAGAGGCCCCTCAGCTTAAGCTCCTGCTTTTCACAGCAAAATGTGGCTGTCTTGGTAATTCCCCTCTTCCTCACATGTACTCCCCATGGACCTCTGCTGTTAATTTGGGAAAGAACAGGTCTCTTCAAGACATAACATGTTTCTCCATAGAACCTCCAAGAATATTTCTGTTTTCTCACCATTTTCTCACAAGAGCAGCTATTTTCCCAGTCCTTCCTTTGCAGAGAGGTGATGTACTTTAGCACATCAAACCCACCCTTAGGAAGCTGAACTGTGAGTAACATGTAACATAAACTCTCATATGAGTCTTATCTCATGTTCACAGCTCTTGGAAGATGCCCCTTAGCCAAGATGTTCTCACTGCCCTTTCTTTTATTGCTTGCCTTCACACAATATAAGACAACTGAATGAGAATGTGAAAACAATCCTGGAGGCTGTAAATCTTCTGAGGAAGATTACTTCCTTTTAATCTTTTTTTCAATGCAAGCAGCTAGTGGTTTATGTCCTTGAAAGGTATTGTGATAAAAGTCCAAGATGTGTTTTTCAGTTAACACAAGACACTTTTGGGTCCATTTAAACTGGAGAAATCTCAGAAGCAATGTCAAAGTCAGCTACTCTGAGGGAATGAGAGATCTGAAGAATGGGTTGGAAAGCCAACAGCCTCAGCTAGAGCATGCTTTGCTTATAGAGCCATCAATTTCTAATCGATTTGTAAACCTATTTCTTTCCCAGCACCTTTTCCCAGATGAAATAAGAAAAATGACCAAACCATGTTGTGTTTGAATAAGAGAAATACAACTCTTTTCCAGGCCTTTGCAGGAGTCAAGTAACCACAGATATTTTTTGTCTCCTGGCCAAATGACAGAGCACAAGTCAGGAATCTAATATATAGAACTATTGAGTTAATATTATGGCTTTCCATTAAGAAGGCTTGGAAATGTTTCAGTGAAATGCATTTTTTTATTTTGCTTTGACTTTCACGTTTTGCGGTCTCCTAGTAGGCAGTGCTACAATTAAATCCACCCCATTCCAGAAGCCAGGTTGTCTAGCAGTGTTTCAGGCCCTCTAATACTTCAAGCCTATTAACTGTCTCTTGGAATTCATCTACATGCCAAGAAAGGTTATCAGCCTGAGCACACTTTGTGCAGGTACCTTTTCTCCAGGGGAAGCATCTGGGCATCCATTGCAAGCTACCACCTGCAATGACATCTCCTTCCTTACCAGTCCCATCTGGGTGGAAGCTCCAGGATTCCCAGGGCTGTTTCAGTAGGCACTCTGGTTTTGGCTCTGAAGGAAGAGCCTACCTTTACAGTAGAGACCAAGAGCACTCAGCTGTGTGCCTCCCAGCACACCCTGCCCACGCCAAGTACTGCACCACATCCAGTGTGACACTCCCAGAGTCATTTACATGGCCCTGGCAATGTCCCCTCCTCACCAGATCGGTTCACAGGAGCTCATGGGTCCTGAGGGGCCCTGGGCTGCTGCTCAGGTGTCCCTGAGCATGGGTGATTCTGCTGCTGGTAACTCATTCTGATATGCCAGGAGTATGCAGGGGGCATTTGAGGTTACCAGTGCTCTTTGAAGGTTGTGGGAGAGCACTGCTTTGAGGCATTAATCTATCACACGGATTTCCTGAGCCTAGAGGTTAATGTGATTAGCAGGCTATGAGGATCTTGACCATGGCACCTTCCTAGCTGCCAAGTTCCTGATGGCTATAGAAGCCATATTTTCTTCTCCAATTAATCACCAAGTTCTTCAAAAACTGAGAAATTCACATAGTATTTCCAAGAAATATCTGTTAATTACTAATTGTGTGACAATTACTAGACTATCAGAAAACAAAATTAAGTACATGACACCATAGAATTGTTTGGGTTTGGGTTAGAAGGGACCTTGAAGATCATCTAGTTCCCAACCCATACCATGGGCTTCTCAGGGCCCCATCCAGCCAGGCCATTGACACTACCAGGGATGGGGCATCCACAACTTCTCAGGGTAAACCAATTCAGTGCCTTACCAACCTCACAGTAAAAAATTCCATCTTAATATCTAATCTAACCTACTGTCTTTCCCTTTGAAGTCATTCCCACTTGTTGTGTCACTCCAGGCCCTTATAAAAAGTCCTTCTCCATCTTTCCTGCAGGGACTCTTCAGGTACTGCAAGGCTGCAATTAGGTAACCCCAAAGCCTTCTTTTCTCCAGGCTGAAGAATTCCAATTCTCTCAGCATTTCTTCAGAGGAGAGGTGTTTCATCCTTATTTTGTGCATTTAACGCAAGAGTATTAGTTGGTCTTTCCAGCAGAATATGTAATTTGTTTTCAGCCCATGACATTTCAGGCTGTTGCTTCTGTTACATGCTTTTAGATTCTCCCAAGTGGGTGCTGTACAACACTGAGAGCAATGACAGACCTGTGCACTGGTACTAACCACTGGCTGTTGGAAATATGTAATTTTCTTTTATACCTCAAGCATACTATTTCTCTCTCCGCCACCACAACAATAAGCAGTTTCCTGATTTTGCTTGCTCCTTCTTTTATTATCTTTAACACTACTCAAAATTGCCTCTGGTTTTCTTCCAATGTCTGTTGAACTTCACATAATTTGTAGATAACAGTTAAATCTATCTCCACCATGGGTTAGTCTGGGTTTCTGACCTCCTTATTTACATTTTTAGCCTTTGTTTCCCTTCTGGTTCCTAAATATGACAATAAATACAGTTTACTACTATTTCCACGCTGCTTGTTTTCCTTTTCTCCTTATTTCAATGTGTGCTGTTCCAAAGTTTCTGCAATGTTGGCAATTCTTTTTCTGTGGCTGCTAACCTACATGAGAAGACTGCTTTCAGCCTTTACAGAGACTGCTTTGATCCACCCCATCCCTGATTTCCCTCAGGGTCTGCACAGGCAGGGCTGAGGCTGAGGTTGCAAGCACTCCCACATCTCATCCGTGTGTAGACACCAGTGCAGGCTGCATTGGAAGGTGTCCTTTGCACTTTGTCCCTCATGTGGCTCATCACCCCAGCTCCAGCCTCCAGCAGTGCCCTTGCACTGAAGTGGCCCATCACAGTTCTTGCATGCAACAGCAGCAGCAGCTCTTGACTAGCTAGGATGAAAGTCCTTCCTTGGTTACTCTGAGGTTTCTTGGTCACAACACTGGCAGCCAGAGAGCCAACCAAGAAACAAAAACCCATGGAAGAAGAAGTAAAAAAGAGGCAGACTGGAAGAAGAAACACTGTCCTGAGCAAACCATGACTGCAGTGGGTTTGTGACAACCTTAATGCTGACATTTTTGTGGGGGGCTGTGCAATCCTTCTGGGCTCATTATTGACTACACAAATTTGCTGCACATTTGCAGTGAAAGGCATGCCCTGTTTTTTGCCAAAATGGAAAGAAAACCAAAGCAAGACATGTACGGTTCCTGCACTTGTCTGAAGATGGTCCCTTACCAAGATATTTTCTGGTCATCCAGTTCTTACATCAGCTTTATTTTTGTCTATCCACTTTCAAATGAGTTAAGAGGCAAGGCTACTTCTCAAAATGAGATGTGATTGGCAAAATAGCACTCAGATATTTTTTCTTACTAACAAACAGAGATTATTGATCTGAGGTCCATGATGAACAGCAAACATGGTCTCTTGATATTTGCCTACAGAGTTATTTGTCATTGCAAAGCTGGACTTTGACAACTCATCCTGAGTTAGCCCTGAGATTTGGCAAGAAGTTTGAAATGATCTTCTGTAGAATAAATTTATCTGTATTTCACCTAGACCAAGTCCTTATATATTTAGAGACATGAAGACAACTACTTGTTACTAAACATACTAAATACAGTTATGAATAAGAAACTTTTGTCATTGATTTATGTGATTTTGAGGAGGACTTTAAAAGTGAATATCAAGTGTTACCTGTCTGCAGATAGACATGGAATGTTTTTTCTATTCCTTATTGGTATTCTTGCACTACAATTTACTCATATTGATGACACTGGTTTAATGTGAAAGAAAATAAAGATCCCCAAACAAAAAAAAGAATTATGTTTTAGAAATATTCACCACAGTTTTTATGTTATATTTTTCACAGACATATTAAGAAGCTAAGGTCTAAAATGTTGTCATTTAAAATTTTTTCTACCAGTTTGAGATATTCTATAACAAAAGATTTAATCAATTTATAATTTACATGCTTTCTTTGGCTTTCTATATTTTAATAAGATACATTAAAGATGTTGATTTAAATACTAAAGGAATAGATAATAAAATAATTTAAATATTTACTGCTTTGTAAGTGAAGTTATGTTTCTTTCATAACCATGTAATTATGTAGTGCAGCTGGATTCAAGGAACCTTAAGGTTAGAAAAGGTACAAATATGAATTCCCAGTCTGCTCTTAGTCTATAACAGTAATCCACTGCTAACATTTAGAAAAGTGACTTCTGAAATATTTTCTGTATTTTTATGTGTTTTTATGATAGCTTAAACCAAATTAACAGTTCCTAGGAAAGCTCTGCATTTCCTACTGAGGAAGTGCAAACTTTCTGGAGTTATAATTTGCATTCCTCCTTTTTTCCACAATCTGTCAAGTCTGGAAAGTGAATATCGAAGGTGGCATCAGTAGAAACAAGAAACGACAGTGACAACAAATCTATGAAAAGGAAACTGGTGCTGTGTCATGGACTACTCCATCAGGCTTTTATCTTGAGGTGTTAGCAACAATTGTTCTATTATTAGGATAAAACAAAAGTATTTTTTCTGCTATGCATTCCTTCCTTAGTAGAATTTAAATTATCTGTACAGCAAAGCAGCCTTCTTATCTCCATGCCAGGGCTTCTGCTGAGGAGGAGACAGAGGAAGGCAAGCTAAACCAGCTGCACTCATCAGCCCTTTCCATTGGTGGTGTTCTCCATCTCACTCACTGTTCCTGCACTTTCATGCTATGCTTGCTTATAAATCATAAAGAAATTAATGAACATTCACTCCAATATTAAAGAAATCTGCATCTAAGTGTATTCATCAAGGGTTAGTGGACTACACGGACAGGAATTAAAACTTGCACCTCATTTTTCCTGTTTCTCCTTTCATATGCACACCCTGTGACTGTACAGCAGTACCTACATCAATTGGAGACTTTTAACCAGCTGAATACCCCACGGGAGCACATCAGAAAGGGCTTCTTACAAAACTGGTGAAAAGTGACTTGTATTTCATTAACACTGCATGCTATATTCAGGTGTAGGCTGTGGGAAACCCTAGTGACTTTTGGACAAGAAAAATAATTTTTGTGTTGTAAGGAATTAATAAGGTTTCTAAGGATAATGGTTGAAAGATGAGCACTAGCACAGAGTGGTAGGCATACATAAGTGTTTCGCTGGATCACAGGAATTTGGCCAGTGATGTGCATAAGTTTCGTCAATCAGTCATTTTTCTGAGGGTTTACAATTTTCCCAATGAAGAGGACAGTGTGGGTGAACTTATCCAGAATCAGCAGGAGGAATGGTCTGTTGAATCTGACCCGAGGCGGGCGAGGAAAATCCCCGGATCTCCAGGTAATCTCCTTCACGGTGGCCCCGGCCGCCTCAGTGCCGTTCTCATGAACATTCAGCATGGCCCTGTGGATCACCTGCAAGGAACAAAGCAAACAGCCTCCAACTGACCATCCAGCAAGAGGAGAGCAGCCTGCCACCCTCTTCACTTTGGCCAGGCAAAGGGAGCCCTGCCTGGAGCAAGACCAAGCAGCTGCAGCTTCTGGGAAGGTCATCCCCAGTTGCTCCCGTTCCCACCGCAGCACCAACAGCCATCACACCACCCAAGCCATCCTCCTTCACTGGTTCTGCAGAGTAACCCTCAAACTGCAAACAGCCAAAGAGCACTCGAGATGACTGATGACAAGAAACTTTGGAAGCAAAGAAAGCTGGTAATTTAGCCGAGACTCAATTTTGTCTTTGGCAGCTTTATGTATTATTGTGAATTTACCCTGTCATCTAGCTGAAAAAAATAACTTTTTGAGAACACTAGAAGGACAAGAATAACAGCCCTTTGCCCTGTGTAGGAAGAATTAGAGGAAATTTTACCACACCTAATGCTCTACATTTAGATAATTTTGTTTAGTTGCCAAAAGAACATTTAATTATATGTATGTTTTCATCCTCATCCTCCAACCATGCCTTTCTAACCCCTTGTAAGCATGTTTGGCTTCAGGTTTATGACAGACAGGGCTTTCTTTTCTTCCAATAGACTGGCAGCTATTGGAGAATGAGTGATGCTTCAGAGAGACTGGGATAAGCTTTTCATGGAATATTATTGTCAGGTTCCTGGGAACAGGCAAATCCTGTGGCTGCTTTCACACGCTGACTTACTTTTGAAACCGTCAGTCCAGGCTCCTCAGTAATCCCTGAGAGATCAGCTTGTTCAGTAAACAGATTTACCATACCCATTTGTTTGACTATATTTTTCACATCATAGGTACCAGAAATAGAAAATTTTGGAATGTGCAGATGTATTTTTCTGTAACAAACAACACAAATAGGGACAAATCATCATCTAGGCAACATTCCTCAATGACTTCAGTATACTGACACTTCACATTTGTTTTTCTAAGTATTTACAGCCTTCTCTAAGGGTTCAGATAGCATTTCTGATCAGGTTAGCTACTTAATGTGGAGGATTGGATAGAATAAGCCTGTGCTAGCTCCTGCCTCTGCAGTGGGGTTCAAGGAGTGGGGTGGAGACACAGCTATACCAACTCAGAGGCAAACAGAGCTACTACTGCCAGGTAGGAGGGCTTTTTCAAATGATTGTAGCTAGCTGACCTAAGGCTGCTCAAATATACAGCAGGGCCTTGGCCTCCACAGAAATAGCTGCAGTAATGGTGAATTAATCCACGTTTACACAGAATGCCCTCAACAGCTACTCCATTGCAGTTTCCCAGTGCCTGCTTGAAACAAAGGTCTGTTGACCTCATCAGGGTGCTAAGTAATTTTTGGTTGAATCAGGAACTTAACCCAAGATTAATCCCAAGCTCAATAACCTATTTTTTCACTAGCCATAGCTCTGTTTAATTTTCATTTTCCAGCTAAGAAAAGGGAAATCCATCATAGAGTCAAGTAAGTCTATACATTAAGTGTATAGAGTTCAGTCAAATAACCTGTCATTTGATGTTTTGTCTTGGTGAGATAAACACAACTAATCTGTAATATGGTCACCTCTCACCTTAGCAAAAAGTCTTACCTGTCTTGGAGGGACTTTTCCCATTTAGTTACAGTTCTTTTCAAGAGGGCATCTTCTACCTGCTTTATCTTCCCTTCATCAGGCAAAACAAATAATGCTGCAACATCTCCATTGTAAGGAACCTGAACCAGCCAACAGGACAGCTCTTCATCAAAGTAATTTCTGTAGTAACCCTTTCGATACATCATGTCAACTTTTACAGATGTTTTCTGATCCACAAAAAAATCCTCCTGTTTTGTCAGTGCCGTACTGAAGGGTTTCTTCCAATGGGCTTATGACAAAAAGAAAATGTGTTCAGTGGAATACAAGGAGGAATGGTCACAGTGAATAAAACAGGATGTGGTTCCACAGGCTTCCTTTCATTAGAGTAAATATCCTTTTCATGTTACTGCATCCTCAGGTGTTACAACATTGCATATGTATTTTTTTAGGTGCTTAAAGACAATTACAGACAGATAATACTGAAAACACCACCTTCACTACAGCATGAGTCTATGATCACATGCAAAATTACTGAATTCAATAAAGATATTTGATTTAAAATTTCATTAAAGCAGGTGAGGAAATATTTTTACTGGCAACAAATATACATGGGTTTATAGCTATACCTTCCAGATATTGAACACTATTTCCTCTATTTAAAATATTTAATTTTTTTCTCTTTTCATTCTCTGTAATAAGCATTATCTTTGCACCCTTTGATATATCTTACCTTTAAAGAAGACATAGTTAATGAGAACCATTGCAGTCAGAGGATCAAGATTTTCCACTAGTTTAACTACTTTCCCATTTGTCTTTTCCTCAATATAACTGTTGATCTGACTCTCAGCACCAATAGAGTTGTTAAAATCAGTAGAAAAGACTTCAGATTCATAAAAGCTTTTGACGTCATCAAAGAACTTCTGTAGTGGTTTTAGTGTTTCTTCTATAAAAAGGGCATTGCCCAGGCTTAGCTGGAACTCACTATCTGAACGGTTCAGCATGTGGAGGAGTTGGCAAAAACCTTCATGTATTTCCTGTTCCTGAGTCTTTTTCAGGTTAAAGGCAAGCCCTTCCAAAATCTGTGTCAGTGTCACAGCCTTGGCACCAAGTGCCAGCATTGCAAAGGAAGCAGAGATGCTTATGGGTGAAAAGAAAATATTTTTGTCCATTGCTTCAGATGCAACCAGCTTGTAAAAGGAAAATGCAAAGTCAGCATTGCTGAAAACTAGTTTGACAAAGGTTTTGTTCTTAAGTGGAGAAGCTTCTTCCCACTGAGAATTACGTCCTGGGTAATGTGTCCCTTTAGCATCATCTTGCTTATTACGGTAGCGAGGATGCTGTTGACGCAGGGCCAAAGTATGCAAACCAACTAGCAATAAACACAAGGAGAAAGTGGTCTTCATTTTTCTTTCAGCTGTTTCTGCAAAAGAAATAGACATGCAAAACACGTCATGGAAATTAATTTGTTCATACTATGTCCTCCAGTAAAGTAAAATTATGCTCTCAGAACACACCTGTTCTCCAAAGCCCCCCACACTTATAATTCGCATTTCTCATGCATGTCAGTGTTCCCTGGAAAGAATACAACTCCACTATTTATGTTTTTAATCTAGTTCTCTTTCAAAAGAGGTAATTTAAAACTTTTAAAAGTTTATTAACTTTAATATTAGCATATTCTTTCAAAATTTTTAAATAACTGGAAGCTTATGACCTTTTCCCAGGAGTAACTGGCATGAGTTGGTTCTGTACTCAGTACTGCATGAAGGTTACTGCAGCTCTGTTAGTCTTCCTCAATTCATCAAATAATTGGAGAATTTAATCTGTTTTAAATAAAAATGTAATATATGCATAGATCATACTATCCAGAACCAAAATTACAAAATGCTCTTACAGTTCCTTCAAAGGTGGAAGACTCGATCACTAGTCTTCGTGGTATAAAAGTCTATAGTAATTTCTATTGTTTCCAAATGCAATTTTTACTTTATTATGGGAAGTCTCTTCCTTAGTATCAGTTCTTGCTGGCTTTTGAAATGCTTTGATTTTTTTCATAAGAGTTATATTCCCTATTTACATGTACAAAGGCACCACTCCCAGGTAAGGACCCCCTCAAAATGAATTGTAAGAGATCCAAAGGAAAACTAAAAGGGTACTTACATTCCTACAGCCTGGTCTTGTCTGCCCATTCTTCTCTTCAATACCATTAAACAGAGTTAATCAGAGCATTCTGTTAATCATTAATTAGTTCAAATAAAAGTTGCCAGTGAGGATGCCAGTGAGGATGCATGACATTGGCTATTTTGGACAATTTTTCCAACCCAGACAAATGCTGGGTGATGGGGCTGCAGACACGAAGGAATGGAGCAGACACTGTATCTCTGTTGCTTCCATGCTTGTGGATTGACAGGAGGGACCTGCTGCTGTGGGTGTTTGGCAAGGGAGCCACAGCCATGCCTTTCGTGGCTGGACCTGACAGCTGTGACTTGGTGTGAGGGCCACCCTTGCTTGGGTCTGCCTGAGCCAGCACAAAGGATCACAGTATCCCTGCCAAAATGCCTTCTTTGATTCATTCTGGGGGCACTGCCCATGCCACAACCTCTCTGGCAGGATTTCAAAACTGCATTTGGATTTAGAAAGTCCTTCTGCCTTACTATCTACCTTAGTCACAACTTTCAACACCATGTTTGATGGTTTGGGGGATTTTCTTATGCAGAGCAGACCACGTGTGATTGGTTCACAGTCTCCAAGTTTCTTAAGAAAATAACACGTGACATTATCACTCTAGTGGGACATTTGCAATCAATAAAGTTATTTACTCATTGCTGTTGGCCATCACCTGTGACTGAGTGTTTGGGGAACTGGGGAAGAGTTTTCACCTGGCTTTGTAGAAAACACAACAAAACCACTACTGCTAAGAAGCAGCACTGACTGCAAAGAGAGACATGGTCAGAAACAGATATTTTATTTCCTTGGGATAATCTTCTGCATCATATGCACCTGAAATGGACACTGGGAGGACACAGAACAGGCTGCCAATTCACCTTTCATCCAGTACTAAAGAAGACATGCTGGCATCACTGGATGATATTCAGGGTTGAATATAAGAGCAAATCACTGCAGGAGAACCTAAGGCAGAAAATGAACTTTTTTAAACAGATCTAGTTGCCAGCATATCCCTATCTGCAAGTTGCTAGGCATTTGATTTCTGAGCAGGAGTCCCAGACAATATCAGATATTGAAATGCCCCACATGAGGTGTTCAACATCTCTGGATGAGAGCACATTGGTGGGGAGATGCGCTTAGGAAGCAGAAGGCAATTCTAAAAAGGGAACTGGATTTTCTTCCCCTCAATCTCAAATCAAGGCTCTTGTCCTGTGGTTGTTTTATATGGCTGCATAGTCAAGCAGCGAAACAGGACAGGGCATACCCTTTTATTTTTTAATTCAGCAGCGTTAATCTTTTTGCACTCTTACCTAGGGGCTGGAACACCTGATCACTTGATCTGGTTACAAGACCCTCAAACCATTCTACTTGAGACCATCAGACCCAAGTCACCCACTTGGCTCATATGTGGGCTGCAAGAGGTTGAGGAGGAAGTGAGGGGACAGGTAATTAACAGCTTTCCTTCTGAGGGTCTTCTGCTTAAAGATCAAATGAAATATAAAACTACTTATGGGACATGTGTAGACAATTTTGCATGAATTACTGTATGTGTTTTCCCCTATCTGTGAAAGACATGTATGTGAAGGCACACACTTCTAAGTATTCATAGGAGTGGAAAAAGATCATCCAGTAAATGTGATTTGTTAATGTAATAATGCACGCACAAGTCTGGCAGACAGAAAACTTGGGCTGCCCTCTGAGAACAATTCAAATAGAAGAAGAAACAAAGGCCCTAGGAATTGTTTCTGAATGTGATAACTGATTGATGAAGATGTGGAATTGTTACTAATTCTAATCATAGCAGTGTGTGAGTAGTTCTGCTAAACAGAATCATTACCTTTGTTAAATCTGAACAGAACCTGTGGCTAATAATATGTGGCATAATTAATACATTATGATTTGGACTGAAAAAAACCTGCTGTATCAAATTGTTTGTGATATTTTGATAGCATATAAATAACATTATTTGATATATGATAATATATAAATGATATGATAATATATAAATAATAACCTCAAAACATTTTAAAGAACTTTGAAGAATTACACATTTGGTAGATTTTATATGCAATTGTTTTAAAATTTTTTTCTAAAAGCTAGTAAAAATTAGTGTGCTCTTTTTCATCCTGGTATGAAGTAATGTAAAGGGGCATTTTCTCATGTGATGACAGACTGTCTGAGAGAGTTAACGTCTCTCAGCCTGATTATTTACAGCCTAATCAACTTATTTAATTGTCTTACTTTTATTAATTTAATAATTTCATTTACATCTGAAAGTGATTCTCAGGTTTAAAATATTTTTACATCACTTAATATTAGAATGGGAAAAAATTCAAATCACACATTTTCCTCATGCATGGAGAACACTTTCTAGGGAGAGTGCCAATGTAGTGGAAGGACACAACACATTGCTTTCTGGAGCCCTTAACAGGGAGTCTGTCCATCTAACCAGGTAAACACAGGTATTTTCCAACCTTTCCTATTATATTAGCTCAATTTTCCCTCAACAGGAAAAGCCTAAGTGCAAGAGATTGTTGAGAGGTTATTCTGTCTCTTTGGGTGGGTCCTAAACATTCTCCACAAAAAGTTCTCTCAGCCCAGGTCTGTCATTCAGGAGAGCACCAGGAGGACATGCTCGAGGAACAAATAAAAGTTGCTTCACCCTTCATCATCCTCACAGCATTTTAAATGCAAAAATTAATCCCTTCTTCTTTGTGTCAAAAAAAGCCTTTACAATGGAAGATGAACTTATTGTGGAGGAACCTCCATATTCTATCCTGCAAGTTCCCATTCCCAACTCTTCCCCATTCCCCATCTGCCTCCAACATGTGCACCTTGGTCCTGCCTTTCCTTGGTCCACCAGCAGTCTGGGCTCCCTGGAAAAAGGGTTTATAGCAGGTGTTACACCTGTGAAATATATAACAGACACAACATGAAATGGAAAAGCACTGTATGCAATATCTACCCAGGAAATTTATGGTTTGTAGGCTGCATTGTGTATAGAGTTAGGGGAAAAAAAGCCTTTACTGATCATTGGAAATTTGTGTCAGGAACACATGAGGAGCAAGCAGTGTGCTGGTGCACCTTTGGAATTGCAGCATCATCCAGCAATGTGCCACTCCACATACACTGCCTGTGGGTGCAGATCCATCTCTTTTTACTGGCGTAGAACTTGGCTCCTATGTGCTTCGTGGGATGGTCTGCGGCTCTGGCATCAGATGTGATAATGGAACACAGTCTCTCTTTGCCCAGTCTCTGCCATAAATAAGTTTTACCTTTTTTATACCTGCTAAGTTGTCTCTTTTCAAGGCTGAAAATCTTTCACCTCCAACAGGAGCTGTTCCAGACCTTAGATTAACCTTACAATTTTTTCTGAAGATTTAATAGTTCTCTGTTATTATAGGACCATGTGTGGATGGTCCAGAGATTTAGATAACTTGCTATGTGATTTGCTCTTTTTTTCTTTCCCAGTAATTTCTAATATTTTATTTGCCTTCTTTTCCATACTGAGCTGATCTGTGCATGTACTACCACCAGAACACCAAACCATGAACCCTGTGTGAACAGCAGTCAGTTCAAGTGCAGCATTTTGCCAAACCTGCACCTAAAACTTAGCAAGAAAATCAAAGTCCCTATCAACACAATAACAAGCCAGAAAGATACTGTTGTTTCTGGTTTGAAAATGAGTCAGAATTTGTCATGTCCATTCCTTTACTTTACCAGGAGATGGTGGCACAGGGCTCCTTTTCCTATAATCCCCAAAACTCGAGGCTCCATGCAGTTAACAATGTAGAAGAATCACACTGAAAGGTTGGCTTCTTGCAAGAATCTCACTCATAGCTGGTGTACTGAAATATTTGCATTTTACCAGTTGAATTTGCCCTATGGACCTTTTTCTCTTGGTCTTAAAGAGCCCTTCTTATGCAAATAACTTTTAGAATAACAAGTTCACCAGAATATAAAAGTTCTTATTTTGAAATGAAATTGTCTACCCAGAGAAACCTTTTGGTGTTAAATTAAATTTAAATTGATATCTTATGTTCTATATTTTTGTGATGCAAACATGGCCATAATCAAGCACTAGGAAAATCCTTTATATAGATATTTTGGAATTACCCTTAAAATTTATTGCTTCCAAAGCCAGATAGAAAGCATTAGGGCTAAACTGTGCAAAGTGCTACCATTTGTTGTTGTACAACAGATTAATATTGTTGGCCTCAGTGAAGAAGCAGAAGGAAGATCAACTAGCTGAATAAATATATTCAAAGAAATTAAATTTATTGTATGATTCTATTGCTCATTTCCCTTTTCTTAAACAAGTCTGACACTCTAAGATTTTAGGATTTTGAGGATTCTGACAGATCAGAGATTGTGTAGCAACTCTCTTCCCAGCTTCAATGGAGGCAAAATACGAGACTACGTGATTACCCTTAGCCTCTGCAGATCACAGCCTGGCAGGTCAGCACAATTCCATTTCCATCAATGACTTACATTATCATGGCTCCACAGGACACTTTGGGATCTAGGATGTACCTGCATGGGCTTTTGTCCGGTTTTCAGCTGTTTGGAGGGCCTGGAAGGGCCCGGAGTGGCCTTGGGGCAGCCCGCGTATCAAAGGACGAGAAGAGGCTTCAGTTCTTTCGATCTCTATGTTTATTAATTGTTTATCTAAAAGATTTTCTTTCGGCCCGACAGAGGTCTGCTCAGCAGCCAGCCATGAGCACACTGTCCTGCCCTCCGGACAGTCACCTACCTTTATACCCATAGTTACAATATTTATCATTTTTCCCCAATACCTTTTATTCTTATTGTCCGGTGCACTTTCAGTAATGACCAATCCCAAAGTGCCACCATCACCACAGAAGATGGAGGAGAAAAAGAAGAAGAAGAAGGACAGGACACGCCCCAATTCCTCCATCTTACTTCTCTAAACCCCCCTGTACATAAATCCTAAACCCTGTGTCTCACCCTCTAATTAACTAATCCCTTCACCATTCACCCCGGTGAAATCCTCCTA